TTAGGGTTTCGCTTGAAACTACCGACAACTCTCTTTGTCGTCTCAGCGGCTTGCGGTTTTCGATTTCCCCCCGATCCAGACTTCCTGGCTGTCGACAAACGTTCCCCAAACACTTTAATTACATTTGTAACGGTTGATTTGGCAACTTTTAGCGATTTTGCCAACTTTGCGTGCGAGTAGCTCGGATTTTCGCGATGCGCGAGCAAAATTTTGATACGCTGCTCTTCTTGCTTGGACGGCATTTTGACAACTGAAGAGTGAATTCCAAAATCAAAATAGGAGCAACATTCTACACACACACACCTTCAAAATGAGGGGTGTTCAGGTTTTTTAAATGCAAAATTGAAAGAAATACGTCAAGTTGATATTGACCAAATTTTGACCGTATAACCCTTTACATATAAAAACCATGAGTGACCACACATCCCAAGTAACAATTCTGGTTTTATGAGGGTTCTGTAGACCATGATCTAGACTTGTAGAATGCTATAAAACCTCTATAAAACTTGCAATGTTACTTGGGATACTATTCATTTGCGTATAAATTTCATGTGTACTTCTGAGTGGATTCTGTTTATGTGTGGTCAAATGAAAATCATGTGGAATTTCACATGGATATTTGTCAAGAAAAATGTGTAGATTGTGTTGAGTCAACCATAACCGAAACATTGAAATACCTGAAAATTTTAAGATAAAGAATAATAGTCAAAAATGCATGAAAAACATCAATTTTGTGTGGTTCTACGTCATACTGCGGTCGTGTCTAGGACACAACCCTTTAATTTTTTTTTTGATTTTTGATGTACAACTACTTCTATGTTTTCTATATCCGGGTGGCCCTAATGGCAGTTAAATATTTCAAATAAAAGCTTTATATAGAAATTTAAAATTTTCCAACTGCTAATAATTCAAACAACATCTTCTCACTAACAAATGAACGGACAAGTGGATATTAAATATTTACACTACAACAAGATGGCGTCTTACAATCAACTGCGTAACCATTGGCTTTTCAATGTCTCGGCATAAACTAAAACAATATTTTAACTCCATACGGAATCATAACTCGTAAGAAGTAAAAATAGAATAGCAGACAATTTTTTTTATATATTCTTAAGAAAAACAAATTTGTATATGTATTTGTCCTAGTCTTAATCGGTTGATGAAAATAAATAAACAACATATAGTAACACTCCCCCCCCCCCCCCGCTCCCTAACTACGCTTATAATATTGAGCAAATGTTTTTGAATACTTCAACCTGAACATACCAAATCGATAAGATTAGAAACTCCGAAGTTATTTCAGTTTGAAACTATGGATATGAGTGAGGGGGGCGGTGTATACTATTACCACCCTCCCCCCCCCCCCTATTCAACTACACATATGAGATAGAGTTATTGTTTTTCAATAATTCATCTGAACATACCAAATCAGTAAGATAATAAACTCCGAAATTATTTCAGTTTGGAATCTGACTCACAATGTACAGTGGTCCAGAATGTAGATTTAGGTGGAATGATATTTTTTAAGCCTGAAATTGAAACTTTAGACTAAAAGTCTCTTCTACAAAGTTGTTCCTTAGAGTTAGGCCCTCATTTTCATGACAATGAATTCTAGGGTGGTTCCCATTATCATTAAAATCAAAAATCTAACTTTATTGTTTGAATAAATTAAGGTATACATTCTCGGGCAAAGTTATAGCTTAGCTAATTTCAAGCAACTTTGTTGCAAATAAATGCAAAAAAGTTGGTTTTCCCATACTAATTTCCATACAAATTTCAAACGCAATGCGGAAAGCCGAGTTACAACCAATCGTCCCCAAATTTAGCACAGTTGTTTGGAACACCAAATGGAACCAAAAAAGTGTTGTTCTAGATTGATGAGGTAAAGTTTGCGTTTTTCCATATAACGATGACCCACTCTAACGTGTATGCAATTTTATCGATTAAAAAAAACCCTAATACCTTGGCCTTAGATAAGTCTTTAAGATTCGAACCATATAAAATCAATCATGATTTCGTGGTTTAGAATTTTCTGTGATATTCCATGATATTTTTTGGGGAAATTCCAAGACTCCACGAATTAGGAAAATAAATCGAGATGCCGACCTGGGAACGTTTTTCTGAGACAAATTAACGATTATTTAAGAAAAAAAATCTCATAAATAATATCATGATCGCTCCCAAGATTTAAGAACTCGAATTCTAAATTATCTTGATCCACTCAAAATATTCACTATACTTTTATTATTTATAAAAATTAATTCTCAATTCCAACTTTAAGCTCTCGCTACCAATCCTCCCAAATGGCCCAAAACGTACGCGGTCAGCGGTATCCTGAACATCCCCTATGCCGAAATTACGGAACCATTCTATGCCTGGTACGATGAAACTAACGGTCGTTCCCGTATAGATTACTACGGTGACATGGTTCAGACATACCAGCTAACAAAGGAAGGCGGTTATGGTACTAGTCTAAAGGTTGCTCCCGTCACCACTCAGCAAGCGATGAACAAACAAACATGCCTTCAGGTCAACGGCTCCTCCGATAACCCTATCTCGGTTCAGAGCATTCTGCCAGACGCGAAGAACTTTAAACTTGCCGGTGAGTTTGTTTAACAAATCATTAATTCTGCAACTCGCATCATTAACGGATTTTTTTTTTCATAACTACATAGGTACTGAGCAACGAGATGGCTACAGTTGTGATAAATTCGTGCTAGTTGAAGATGTCGGCCAAAAGCGCAACTCGTACAGTCTATGGGTACGATACGTCAAATCACCCAAATACCCAGCTTCTCGTATGCCCATCCCAGTTCGTTATGAGATGAAGGGATACAATACTCTGCTTGGCTCACATTATGATCACTACTATCTGGATTACGATTCATACGAACATCAGGATATCCCAGCCGAAGTATTCCAAGTCAAGACTAGTAAGATCGCCGAGTAATAATTTCACACCAGGTTGTAATACTTACTCTATCATTTCAATAGCTGACCCATGCATTGGTTTCCCCGGACCAGGAAATGGCCATTATGCTACGTTCAATCCCATGCAGGAATTCATCCACCCCCGTTCGGAAGAGCATCTCGATAACGAGTTTTTCCGTTTCAAGAACAAACACGGCAAAAACTACTACAATGATAAAGAACATGATCGTCGACGAGACATCTTCCGTCAAAATCTTCGATTCATCCACTCACACAACCGTGCTGGAAAGGGATTTACCGTCGCCGTTAACCATTTAGCCGATCGTACTGATGAAGAGCTGTCGGCTCTTCGAGGATTCAAATCATCCAATGTCTACAACGGAGGCTTACCGTTCCCCTACAATCCGGAAGACTACAAGGATGATCTACCAGAGAGTCTTGATTGGCGCATAGCTGGTGCCGTGACTCCAGTTAAGGATCAGTCTGTTTGTGGATCTTGTTGGTCGTTTGGAACAGCAGGACATATCGAGTCTGCCTACTACCTGAAATACAACAAATTGATGCGCTTCTCACAACAAGCCTTAATCGATTGCTCTTGGGGCTATGGCAATAACGGATGTGATGGTGGAGAAGATTTCCGTGCGTATCAATGGATGATGGAGGTCGGCGGTATTCCATCGGAGGAGGAATACGGTGGATACTTGGGACAGGATGGCTACTGTCGCTTGGAGAATAAAACGTTGTACGCTGCTATCGACGGTTGGGTCAATGTTACTTCTGGAGATGCTGACGCCATGAAAGTTGCTCTGTTCAAGCATGGACCACTGTCGATTGCTATCGATGCCGGTCATAAGTCCTTCAGCTACTACGCAAATGGAGTATACTACGAACCGGAATGCAAGAACAATTTGGATGGATTGGATCATGCAGTGGTGGCAGTTGGATACGGAAAACTGAAAGGAGAAGATTACTGGCTAATCAAGAATTCCTGGTCCAACTACTGGGGCAACGATGGATATGCTTTGATGGCGGTGAAGGGTAACAACTGCGGCATTACCACCGATGCGACGTATGTAAATTTGAAGTGAGATTTCTGTTTAAATTAGAATTAAGTAAAAGTGTACTTTTATTTTCGGATGAGATGGAATAAATGATTTTCAATTTTTGTAACATAATTTCCGGACTAGAGATTTATTGCATCTATGTCTAGGGATTTATCCTTACTTTGGTACATTAGAATTAATTCAAAATTATCACAGACTTGATTGCGGTATGAATCTCCATGATTAGATTTGACACTAACGGATTCACGGGTTCAAAATTCAACAATTATCTAAATGATAAGTTAACGTAGATCAATGATTGGACTAATATTAAGATCAAGCTTATGCTGCTGATTGTTTTATGAGTTCCACTATCGGCATTTACTTTAATCAGATTGGCGACTGTTAGGGCACTTAGATTCAGCTCACTTGTTATCATATGGCTTTGAGTTTTTATCAATGTTACTAGTTTTTCCGCTTCACGTGTACAGATTTCAACTTGCAAATAATTTGGATGCTTGCTAACATTTTCAATAATAACATAGATATCATTCTCAAACGTAAGTTGACCACTGATTCTGCACTCTACAGTCTGCAGTAAACGCTCAAGAGAAGTGAGGATCGCTTTAAGAGTGAGATTTTCCGTATTCTTCCCTTTCAATGCGTACAATGCTCGATCGATCTGTTTTCTAGAATATATTATGCGTAGAGCAGTTCCACACACTGGACAGCAGGCGCCAGGAGGTATGACTACGTTGCATTCATGTGACTTTCGTTTGGGACATTTGATCGATGAACACTTTGCTTCAAGTGTTGAACTTATGACTCCTAGTTCCTGACAAGGTCCGTTATAATCTACGGCAGAAAAATCGCTCCAAGCTTCACACTCACTTCGATAGGTGATTCCATTGACTCCGCAGACCTGAGTTCTCTTTCGTGATGTTTCGCAGTATTTGAAATACTTTTCCTGGTATGCGAAAAGCCCGCCAGACTTGACGAGATCACATACGGTGGGATAGAAGTTCAGATTTGTGTCTCGAATCGAAGTGATCACTGAGCAGTTGGTAGATGCCAGGCTAACTAGAAAGGAAAGTTAAGGAAATTTTAGATTAGTTACACAGAGAGTAAAACAATACTTTTTAGCTATCCTCAGGATTGAACCATGCGTCTAAAGTTAATTTAGGGCTACTGAATGAAATGAAAATCTATCTGAGTGAAAAATCCCGTAAGTGTATATTTTAAGCCTCTGCTTTTATACAGTAGCTTCGAAGAAACCATCTCATAATTTTGGCTCATACATAACACTATATATTGTCTTCAACTGTGTATCCTTTTTTATTTGAAACTAGCTGAGTGTGCCCGGTCTTGCTCGGGATTCAATATTAGCTTGAGTTTATGCGCCGATTTAAAAAAAAAAAAGCATGCTATATTGTACGTAGCCCCCCCTCCCCTATTATATAAGAGGCTACCCCCTATGATTATCTCCTTATACCCCCACACTCGCCCCCACATGCCTAATTTGGTTCCATTTGCTTGATTAGTTCTCGAGTTATGCAGAAATTTCTGTTTCATTTGTATGGGAGCCCCCCCTTACAGAAGGGGGAGGGGTCTCGAACCATCATAAGAACCTTCCACGGCCCCAAAAACCCCTGTATACAAATTTTCACGCCAATCGGTTCAGTAGTTTCCGGGTCTATAAGGGTCAGACAGACAGACAGACAGACAGAAATTCATTTTTATATATATAGAAGATATATAGAAGATTACCTCCAATGGATGACAATTAGTGCAAGTTTTTAAAATAGCAAGAGGTTTATCCGAAATCCAGAACCATTCCGGATATATTCCGAAACCCACTGGGGTTACGGCAGTGCCGAATTTGTGAAATGTGAAGTGATTCTTGTCGAAATTCTAGTACTACACTATATTTATTTTGATTCACTATGAAAATTTGACAGATAAAATGGGGGCCTCGTGGATTTTCCTATGTTTCGAGGGGTGCATCGATTAGCTTGGGACCGAAGATAGTACCAGAGCTGAGCCAAAAGGTTGAGCACGTTTTTTCGGGACATTCTGGTCCTAGAGTTACATCTATTGTATTAGCATAGAAGTAAAACCATAGAGGTAACTCTAAGACAAGAAGGTTCCGAAATAACGTGCTCAACTTTTTGGCTCAGCTCTGGTACTCTCTTCGGTCCCAAGCTAATCGATTCACCCCTCGAAACATTGGAAAAACCTGTCATAGTACTAGAATTTCGACTAGAATAGGGTACGTTAATCGTTTGCTTGGGACCAATAGGCTACTAAAGTGGTGAGCCAATTTAAAATCGTTAGTTTCGTATTGATTGTTGGTAATACCATAGAGGTAACTAGAATAGGGTACGTCAATCGTTTGCTTGGGACCAATAGGCTACTAAAGTGGTGAGCCAATTTAAAATCGTTAGTTTCGTATTGATTGTTGGTAATACCGTGTCTTTACTAACTACACACGTAGAAATAACTAATTTTACACGTGACGGAATCCATCTTTGACATAAAGTATGAGACGTAAACACACATGTCATGTAAAATTAAGTGCTCCGAGACTGAAAAGTTCGATACTCGACGAAAACTACGTTTGATTGAATTGAATTTCACGTCTGCTATGACTCAATTTTATGTCAAAATTGACGCTCGTTTATGTCAGTCTCAGAGCACCTAAATTTACATGAATTTTTCTAAGCGTGTAGGCTATGAGACCCCTATGAGAGCATGGGCGCAGCTAACCACAGCAACACAAAATCTTTCCTGCATCGTATATAGTGTCACCCCCCTCGCATCGATACTAGGCTGCCTAGCAAGGCAACACGCACGGCAAAGTGTGTTTGCGTGTATGGGTGTTATGTGATTGATACATGCATGCTTGGATGAGCAATATAATACGCTGGGTTAATTCATCTAGTTCAAATTTGCATCAGTGTCACGGTACACGGTACACGGTTGTATAACCCGACCAATCCCTCTGAACCCTCTTCCGATTTTCGACTAAATTCCTTGTATGTCAGAAAATAAGCTTGGTGGAATGGCAGGGTTATTTGACAATAGGACTGATCTCCGTATAAACTGATGTGGCCACTCCGGAACATCTGGAACAAGTTCCAGATATTCCTTACGGGTTCCGACGATGCTCGGTAGCTTAGTGATTACCGTTTAAGCTTACTGAACAGAAGGTTGAAAGCTAGATCAGGCTCCATTCTTCACATTTTGTCATTCTATCAAAATAGATTTTAATGAATACATATTCATTACTAACAGAGATGCAGAGGTGTATTAGGTTGTTAGTAACAACAACATCCTTCTCTCTCCAAAAGACCTATAAATTAGTGGGCTTGTACATTGGAGATGCAAAGCTAATCCCAAGCTCCATCTACGGTGCAGCACCATTTTGGTATACGTCACTTCACTTCGAACCCCCGAACTCAGCAAAAAATCTAATAGCGAATTTGTTTATTATCCAGGATTTAACCAGTTCCAACCCGTGCTAATCCGAGCATATTGTCAGTGGGAACCTCAACCCGAGCCGGGTTACAAAAACAAAAGTTCACACTGATGTTTGACAGACAACAAGCAAACCCAATCTTGAAACCTGATCCAGGTTGGAACTAAATCAAAAACAAATTCGCTATAAGTGTATACGAAATTCATGGTCTTTAAAAACAAAAAAAGAGTCGATACTCCTGATGGGTTTCAGCACTCAGCAGCCTTAAATTAATTACAGACGGTTTGATCCTTAGAGATAGACTCTTGTTTGCTCTTATTATTGCGCATTTTGCACCAAGGTCTGCTGCGCTGAAAATAATCCCTCAACCATTTTTAATTTTACTGACCTGAACGATTAAAATTCTGAAGGAAAATTTAAAGCACCGAATCTACTTTGCTGAAATATGCGCAATATCAATACATACCACATCTATGCTGAGGACACGGCTTGTGCATAGTCGACAAGCAAATGTTTCTATCTGGTATACAAACAGACAATGGGCCACACTCTACTTCAACACAAGGATCTCTCGCACGGCACGGTCCAAACTGAATATCACCATCCTGAATGCCAGCACATTTGGCTATACACGCCGAAGGATATGTATTTCCGTTTCGAGCACAAACTGGAACATAATGCGGAGGGCAGTTGCATGGTAAACTCGTGAACGATTTGTTCAACGTAATTCCTGGCATACGACATTGCTTCTTAGTACAGGTAATCTCACCAGCAAAACAGCTACATATGTTACATTCCACGTAGAAAAATGACAGATGATCAAACCGTTTCCCCGCCAGCGCGCATGAATCGTAACTGATGCACGGAAGTGGTTGGCACTTTTCTATCCGTCCTCCAGTTCCACATCGACAAACCTTTAGGCAGCCTTTTGTCATCGTCGACACTGGTATTCGAACGAACGTTCCTTCGGGTACGAGATAAAATGACGCTTCCCCAAGAGGACAACCATTGACACATTTGTATCCGTAGGTTCCATCTCGATTGACGATACACACCTGACTTGAATTACATGGATTTCCTTTACATGGTGAAAGCAAAGCAACATCTGAATTCTTCTCGGCAAAATCACTTGGTTCGCGGTATCTTTTTACCGATACACACTCAGATTCGTCATTGGCATCCGGAGAGAACATCTGGCACAAGGATGCTACTGAGTGCTTCATCGTCATCCGATTCCAATCCACGCACCGTCCTAACACTTCATAGCAATCTTCTCGGCAAATGCGATTTGTGTGGTAGCTCCTTGTACAAGGCTTAATCTGTAGCAGACATGCAACGGATTTCCATGTTTCAAACGTACACTCGCTGATATTTCGAATCGGTAAATTGATACCAGGAAGCCTGACGTACTGCTGTTCCTTCCACTGTTCCACATCACTGAGGGCTGCGTTATCCGATTGAGCTCTGCAGCTACGAAACAGCTCCGTTGGTCGATTATTGAAATTACTGCAGTACGAAAGTCCATCACATCCCAACTCACACGGTTCGTCAACTATAACAAGACTGCATAAATTAAAATAAAACTAACTCAAGCTAATACCCCTACCTTCATCGACACACTGCTTCATACTATACTCCTCTGTTGAAAGCAAGCAGTCATGCTCAAACTCTGCCAAATTTGTAGTCCACTCGTTGGAATACGTTGCAACGCAAAACTTTCGACATCGGGATGAGTTTGCTTTTAGGCAACAGTGCAGTTTGGCCGAATCCATCCCAACCTGATTGATTCTGGAAATTTCGTTCGAGTTGACTGGAGTTACTTTCTTTTCTCCAAACGAAAAGAAACATTTCCACAACGGATCATGAGGCAACGGAACACCACAACCTGCATTCTGAAGAACATCAACAGTTTCCTCTTCTGTAAAACTTCCATCCAACAGAGTTTCTCGGCATGATTTTTTGCATTGGTTATCAGAAGTGTGGTCACAGCATGGAAGATCTACATTTAAAAAAAGTGATTGAACAAGATGCAACATTGTAACCATCCTAATGTATTACTCACAATGTTTCAAATTTCCATTGACGGTAACTTCAGTGTATGTTTTGATACACTGCAGAACATCCGTATTGTTATTGCTGCATGTTCTTTGGACTAGTTCCCTCTGATGTTTGTTGGGCGTTTGATTCGTCCTGAATATGTCCTTACACGCTAGTAGACATTCCGATGTTCTAGCGTGCCCACAACAGCTATCTCCATCCTCTTGACGTTGGACACAATCGAACAAACGCTGTTCGTCACTATGTCGGCATCCTGTCTGGAGGTTATCTCGTTTCGCTGAGGTAGAGCAAGCGTTCTGGCACTTCAAAGACATCCCTAGTGAACAGCAGGTTCGTCCTGGCCATGCGATACCCCGTTGAATAGACGTGAGCGTAATGTTCATGCAGTCCCAAAATGGGGATTCGAATGGTTGACAAAATCGACGAATATCGTGCAGCTTCCATTCTTTGGCATTTGTATCTGTTGCGAGTTTGATGAGAGAAAGCTGTAATAGAGAGAATTTAGACACATGTTAGAATAAGGTTATGCATTTGGATTAATATGATTTTTATTCTTTTTGTTATGAAATTATGTATTTCAGAAGATATGTGTGCAGTTTAATATTTACGAAGTGACAGAGCAAGGAGCTTCGGAGACTCATCTAATTATAATAAAATACGTTGATATTCATGAACCACTTTCATTCAGGGGAAACTGGGGTAAAAATGATCATTTGGTGGAGAAGTCATCGAATAAGCACTTAAAAGCAATGTTGATTTTACCCCCACTTCCACTTATGCCTTATTCAGACTACAGATTTATAACATGTTATAATAATTATCGGCAAGAAAAATGTCATAAAGATAGCTCAACTAACATTTTCAGCTTTAAAAGCCATCTTTTCCAGCATTGTGCAGATACAGCTGTAAGCAGAAGCTAGCAAAATAGTTTTGGAGAGCGTGTACTCAAATTTTTCACAAACATTATTCAATTTGTCAGTGGCTCTGAATAACAGCAGCCAATAAACGCTAATGTCACTTCTATGCAAATATTAATGAATTTTCTACCTTGGAAGCATTTTTAAAGTCATCTATGTTTATTTTTAGACATGTGCAGTTTTACAGCTTTTACTCCGCTCCTTTCAACAAAGCTGAACTAACTAGTCGAGAAAAGTGATTCATGTGCACCATTATAAAGCCTCTACACAGCGATCCTGTTGTAGAAGGTCATGTAGATTGGTTTGCGGCAGTTCAAAGTGTTGGCGTAGCGAAGTTGATTGTGGCAAGGTTTGCCAATGCAGTTGACTTGAGTTCGAGTCCAGGGTTCCGGTAACAATTTGATGGTGTGCTTATAACTAATTTCGAGTAATTTGATTCGCAGCTAAATAAAATCAATAAATTCCATAAAAAAAGTAAACAATATTTAACACGGTTGCATTAATTCAGAATTTCAATGAGGTTTTATGGAAAATCAATTTGAATATTTGCACTAATCATTATGTTGAGTTCCATGTGATTTGAGGTATCGCAAGATGCATTTCGGCGCATCTCAGAATCTGTCCACTTCCCGGGGGTACCCGGTACATCTGAAAGAGGTCATTGTGATCATTGGGTCTGAAAATGTCCACCATTGATCTTATAGTAATCTTATATCAATCTTTTGCCAACAGCGGCGCCGGTGGTGCAGTGGTAAGCGTGATTATCTCCCACCCCAGCAGGCCTGGGCTCAATCCCAGTAGGTGCCGCCGGGATATTCTGACACATAACATCTCTGATCACGGAAGGTAAGTAAAGTCGTTGGTCCCCGGTTCATGAATTGATGGGTCGATAGATAGGGTCCAGGTGTGGGAGCTGCCTCCCTGGCATCGGTAGTATTGGTGCTCAGCATGGAAAACAAGATCGACGGAAAACAAATCAAGGAAAAAATCTTTTGCGAATTCCCCAGCGGAATCTGGAATTCATATTTTTGTTCATATCTTCGGAACCATAACTCCTTTTCTGTGTCTTTTGTTGGGGTGCAGAGGTAAACACGGCCCACAAACAACAAAGGTCACTCTAATATTCCTTCCCTACTCCCACCTGATTGCAAGGACGTGGCCGGCGCCGTTATTGATCTACAACATATAGAGTCACTGAAACTTGTACAATGAGAATGGACGGTCACTCCCAGCCCCATTCAGTTGATTCATTGTACAATTTCACTGATTCTGATCAATCACGGAGTGCAGTCAATATAAGCTAAGCTAGCTATTGGTTATCCTATTTGTATAGTGTTTATAGTACTACATATCTTTCATTATTGACTTTACATCATTTAATATTATTGTAAATTACATTTTATAATACTTAATTCTTAATGTTAGCTATTATGAGCGGCTCCAAGGAAGCATAGTGCCAGCTTGAAAAGAAATCTGAATCGTTCATTATCTGTTTCGTAAAAATCTTGTGTTTATTGTATCTTGTTACATGGCATTATAACGCATTTTCAATATTGCATTACATTTAAATAAGTATTAACCCGGTTACACACATTTCAGGTCATCCAGGTCTTAAATAAGATGGGATCCGTTCCTTTTATCAACAGCTGTGATATTGCATCATATGCTGAAAATATATGAATTATCGCGTATTTCTGTTGTTCATTACATACCAGGTGAGGGCTTAATCATGTTTTGCCATCTAGTGTTTTGGTTTTGAGATGCTCGATAACCTTGGAGGGATCGGTTTTGCTTAATGAGCAGAACATCATGGGTTTAATCCCAAGCTCTCCCACAACATAACACAACACAAACATATCAAGTATCATTCTAGCTAAAAATATTTATTTGCATAATATAACCTGGAAATTTCAGGGTTACATCTTCCTTATTGGGAGCTGAGGAGACATAGAGCTGCATCATATTGTATGTAAAATAATTATTATTTTCATTGCGGAATACCAGTTTTTTTTATCCATATAAATGTATTTTCATTATTACGTATTTTAATGTTCTGATATATTTCATTTCTCCATTACATATGTTTACTATATATATAAATAAATACTGGGTTGGGAGGGAGCATCAGGGTATCATTTGACCTGGAACTGGACGATTGGAGTGGTATGACAACCGGAGTCTAGGAGGGAATAAACACTATCATTTTCTTTATCCTACCGATTCGATTGTGATGGTGTGAATTCTACTCCAACAGTTTCATGGAGATTGACGCACCCTTCTTAACAAACCATCCTGTAGGAAGCTTAATAAGTATTGCGAATTGCGTTATTCGATTTGTTGGATCGTATCGTTGGAAGGAGATTCTTAAATTCCCGTGGATTTCGCGTAAGTGCCTCTGCTTACGGGTCCACCCCACCGTTTTTGGCCCTTCATACAGCGATATTGTGAATACAGATCGGTAGCTCAAATTGATCTTGCTATTAAGTGGAGCTGCATACAAGACAAGATCTTCGAAGGGATGGTGGCTACCTTACATACATACATACATACATCTTCGGAACCATAATTCCGATCGGTAAAAATCAATAGCGATACATGGGGATCTGAATCACATCTTCTAGAACTTGTTCCACTCAAATTGGTCCAGCCATCTCTGCGAAAATTGAGTGAGTTACAGTCATACGAACTTACATACATACATACATATATACACCATATATATGACCAGACACATGGCTGCTTCAGGAAGTACCTGCATCGGTTGTTAGGACACACAACGGCACCCTTCTGTCCAGAGTGTGGGAATGTGGAAGAATCATCAGAGCACGTGGTCTTCGAATGTCCTAGATTTGATGCTGTGCGAGAAGAGATGCTCGCCCTTAGCACGGAGAATGTCGTCAAAGGAATGTGTCGAGAGGAGGGCACCTTTAACGCCGTCAGTAGAGCAGTAACGCAGATCATGTCAGCGTTGCAGCGAAAATGGTGAGAGGACCAGCTAGAAAGTAGTAATGTGCTCACATAAGTGCGAAGTGAGTGAAAATATTAAAAGCCAAGCAAAATTTGGCGAACAATATGCAATGTTGCACTTGTTTTGTCCATTTTCTTTTGTACTTTTTTTTTTTAAATTGATGAAATATTGTGTATGAATAATGAGTTTTTTGTAAACGTTTGCATAAGTCTTTCTGAAAATTGACCTTTTTTTTTTTTTTCCTTTATTAACGAGACTTTCAGCCTTAGGGAAAATTGACCTACCATAACTCTTTTTAATAATTCTGAATAGTTTCATAATAACCAATAAACCAAGGTTGCAAATGTTTTGTCCATATGTTTCGTTATATGCGGTCCGTATTATGCGCATATATGGAGGGATAGCTGTATATTAGTATACACAAAGGCGGTGCATGAGTTTGTTCCAACCGTCCCAATAGCCATGAGTAGCTGACTAAGTTCGCCACATTTGCTTGTATAGTAAGTAAAGGTTACCTCATATCGTATAGCATTTGAATACAGTTTAAAGCTGTATAAATGAAATAAAATGAGAAAGTGCTTACATTGTGAAAATTGTTAATTGGGCTTACAGCCATAATTGGAACACCTGTCCTATATATATATATATATTTTAATTCGGAATTTTAGAATGAAGTACCCTTCCCCCACAATTATGGATCACTTCTGTCTTCAAAGTTAAATAACTGGATGATACAAACGTTTTTATACCAAATAATATGTTTAAGATAACATATCAATAGTTTTCTAACTTTTGGATCAGCAAGCATAATTTTTAACCCAGAATTAAGTATTTTTTCATGAACATGCAATGTTGATGCTGAGAACCTGTCAAAATAACATCGTTTTTCTCAAGCAGCCTGAGCAGTACGTTCCGTGTTCATAAGCTTACAAAGTGATATAATTACCAATTTCAACCCATGAAATGGCTCCTGTACCACGATCAAGATATGTTTATTACAATTAAACTAAATTTTTGTAGTTGACAACACTTTTTTTGGTGAAAATAAGCAATTATAAAAGTGGTCCATAATTGTAACTGGATAAATTTAGCTTCCCACAATTATGGACTTGCTTCCAATGCGATTATTTCATCAGTGGAGCAAGTTACTAAGTACTACATAATGTTTTTAAGCAGGAACACACAGCGAAACCCAAAACGGAAGCAATGCTGTGAAAAATGCTGTTTCTGAAGCCCGAAGGACAGGGAAGGTTTGTAAAGTGGCTAAGCGTTATGAGGTGTCATTTACTACGGTTCAACGGCACTTAAATACTCCCCCGAAGAACGACAAGCCTTGACCCTCAATGATATTCCGGCCAGATGAAGAAGCTCGCTTTGATCGGTGGACACTTTACATGTCCAAAGTTGGGTTCTCCATGATTGAAACCGATTTGACACACGTTTTCAAAGACTACGCCGATAAATTCAGACAAACTCGCAATTTTCCAACTTCATTTCCTAGTGAGCTACTGCAATTTGAAACTGCAACTGATTAACTTTAATGTTAATCAAAATAAATTTATCATGATTATTTCAGGTAAAAATTGGGCG